AAAAAAAAAAAAAAAAATCTTCCTACCAACAACCGTACTCTTTCCGGCCACTCTGCCTTTGTCATGACCTCCACACCCTACGGACCAACTTGGACCTTCCAGACCAGGGCGAGATGTCTCTTCTCCAAGTGGCTTCCTGGACTCCGAGTTTGGGTTGACATTCCTCTTCTAGGCCCCCCCACACACACCGAGCTCGGCCGCCCCCTGCCACGCCTGCCACGGGGACTGGGGTTTCCTGTTCGAGACTCCTTCCCCACTCTAAGCTTCCTGAGACGCAGCCCGCTCTGTGTTGCTGGGCACAGAGCCGGCGCCAGACAGCGCCTGCACGGCGCAGCACTCAGCGAGTATATGTCGGATGCCTTGTAATAACCCGACTTTCCCTTTGTGCCTAGGAACCCAGTAGAACTTCAGCTCTCAGACTGGTTTACGCCTAGGTAAGAATAAAAATCTGTCAACAAGCACACAAAAATGATATATCTCAGTTTGAAGTGATAAGTTCCCCCTCCACTCACCAAGTTACAGCCATCCTGGGAGGGTTCCAGAATTGGAGTTTTATTGTCAAGGCTCTTACATACAAACCGAGGGTCTATTTATCGAGAACCGGGCAGTTGCGATGGTTATCAAGAAGCCGACACACCCTGCCTGGCTTGACTGTCCTGGTGTAATCAGTGAAAGAGAATCTCTTTGGAAACAGCCGAAAATGCCTCAGGGATGCTGCTCGATTTTGGAGCCCACCCGGGGGTGGCAGCTTATCCTTTGAAACAGTGGTAGTGTTCTGTGTGGTGTGGACCGCAGCTCGTTTAACCTCTTCCCTGTGGGTTTACGATTATTTATAGTTTGGGGGCTGTTGTAAGTGAAGTTTTGGTGAATAACCTTGAACATGTTTTTGCACACTGACGTGTGAATTTTGGCCTGGGATAAATTTTGAAAATGGGGTCATTAGGTCAGAGAGTGTAGCCGTTTAAAATTTTGATGTAAAGTTAAAATTGTGGCATTTCCCTTTAATAACTGTGCCCTTTTATTTTCTCATCTGCAGTCCACGAGCTAAAGTATTATCAGTGCTTCTATTCTGGGCGTAACTGCTGGTTAAAATATCTCAATTCAGTTTGCGTTTCTGTAATTGCTATTGTTTGAACATCTTTTACGTGTTTACCATTCATTTGCATCTCACGTTTTGCTTATTCTTGTTTCACGTGTATATTTTAAACAGACCCCAGGACACAGAATTAGACTAACCGTAATTGGCAGCTCACGACGGTCATTGCTGGTTCGTGTAAAACCTGCTCTTGGTGCTTATGTTTGTTTGCTTATTTTTAATAAGACAGAAACTGGAACCTTCCACACTCACCTCTCACTTCCGTCCTTCCCCCTGCGTCACCCGCCCCGGCCCATCCTGAATCCTGGTGATCGGGCGAATGATCCTGGTTGATCACACTCCTGCTTTCCTTTTTATACAATTTTATCTCATCTATATTATTCTGAAAATGTCTATTTGAAAATGTTAGTGGCTTATGACTTTGTAAAGAGGATGTCCTGCTTAGACGCTCTCCTGGGACTTACCTCATCCCTTAATGGCATGTTGCTAAGATTCACCCAAGCTTTCGTGTCGCCCTAACTCCCCTGCCAGCCGTGCGACCATCCGGGTGGAGCTACAGCAGCTTATCTTCCCGCTGTCCGGCTCACGGCACTTTGACTGTTTTTGCTATCGCGAGTAGTCTTACCATCCTCCTGGTACGGGTGAGCAAGGTTTAGGTGGTCGGAACCGCTGGGTGGTCGTGCCTGTGGGTGTCCGGCGTGGGAGACAGAGCTCGTCTCAGCCTGGCCAGGCTGCCGTGACAGAGCACCACAGACGGGGTGGCTCGAACAACGGGAATGTATTTCTCACGGTTCTGGAGGCTGGAGGTCCACAGCCAGGTGCCAGCATGGTCGCCTTCTGGTGAGGACTCCCTTCCTGGCCTGCAAACAGCCGCCTTCCTGCTGCGTCCTCACATGACAGCGAGAAAGGAAGTGAGCGCCTCCCTGTCTCCTCGATAAAGGCGCTGATCCCACCGTGAGGGCTCCACCCTCACGACCTGATTAACTCCCGAAGGCCCTGTCTCTAAAGGCCACCGCAGTGAGGATTAGCGTTTCAGCGTCCGGATTTGGGGGGAACACAAACATTCAATCCACAGCGGTGCCAAACAATGTTCCCAGGTAGGATCCCAGGGTAAATTCCCAAAGATCTCCTTGTTCTTTCACGCCGGAGCTGCCAAAAGAGTGGACGTAAAAAGTATCTCCAGTTATATCAGGAAAAATGATGGAGAAGGATCTCTCATATTCCCTTCTCCACAAAACTAATGAGAAAACTGGCAGTAATAGTCGGAATCACCTTTGTCAGCACTCTGGGAATTAGCTGAAGGCTTGTAGCAATCTGGGAGCCGTATGCTGAGCTGAATCTCAGTGAGGATGGTGGGATTTTTGGCATTTTAACATGTGTTTTCTATGTAGACAATCGAGTAATCTGCCAGGAGGGAGAGTATTATTTTTTCCTTTCCAATCTGATGCCTTTTATTTCATTTTCTTGCCTTAATGCAGTGGCTAGAACTTGCATCGCTGTGTGAGAACTTGTCATCTTCCTATCGTAGGGAGGAAGCTCTCACTCTTGCACCATTTAGTATGTTGGTATTTTTGCAGATGTTCTAGACCAAGTTGAAGCAACTCCCCTCTATTCCTGTTTGTTCCGGAGAGAGTTTACCATGAATTGGGTGTTGGACTCTGTATCATGCTTTTCTGCATCAGTGGCCGTGGACGTGCGATTGTCCCCTAGCTTTTGATGTGGTGGTTGACGCAGATTGATTTTCACGTGTGGAGCTGGTCTTACATAATTTGAATCCTGTTGTTGTTTTATTATTATTGGAAGCACATGTCTCTCTCCCTTTTCGGACTCATCTTCTCATTTGTGCTGTATTGCACTGATGGCTTAAGGCTCGAGGGAGAAGGTGAAGAAGGCACCCCTAGAAATGTCTAAGGAAAGGGAGGGAGAGAAAGGAAGAGGGAAAACAACGGTATCGTGGGGGAGGCAGCGCCCGCTCCCAGCCCCGGCTGTGGGCGACACCTGGGGAACAGCCGACTCTGGGCCGCCTGGTTCCGAGCCGCAGTCAGAGCTCAGAAGACACAGCTCTGGGACTCACACGGACATCGCAAGGGGGCACGAGTGATCCCCGCGCTCAGACGTGGGGCCCGGCCCGCGATAGCCGCTCTCCATGCGGTAGCACCCACTGCTGCCACCTTCGCAAAGCGACACCCATCTGACTTGTTTGTTGCTTGTTCCACAGAAATCGCCCCGATGTCATAACGACAACGGACTGGTTCGCTCCGGTCCTATGGGAGGGGACTTTCAACAGACAGGCCCTGGAGAAGTATTACAGAAGGCGGAACGTCACCGTGGGCTTGGCTGTCTTTGCTACCGGCAGGTGGGTGCCGCTAACCTTTGCCCTTTTCCATTTAGGAAAAATGAGGGTAAACACCAGTGGCCCTTCTACCTCCAAGGAGCATCCCGTAAATAATGGCAACCGTGACTGCGCTGTCCCGTAGACAGAGTTTGCCACGGTTATTTTCTCGCCGGCGGCCAGGTCCCGCCACCGCTGCTTGGGACCCTCTTGACTGACATCCCGTTGACTCTCGTCCCTTTCCTCGCGTCAGCCGTCGCCAAGCTGCCATGGCCTCAGCCAGGCCCGCGGTTGCCACGTTCTCACTCACTCACCGCCTCAGGCGAAGCCACGGGCGCGACCTCTCCCCTTCCCGCTGGGAGTTCTCCGGCCTCGGCAGCCTGCGCCGACGGCAGGTTCCCTCCTCCCAGGACGCTGCGGGACACTGAGTCTCTTCCTCTGCGCGCTGTTCGCAGGTTCGCGGAAGATTACCTGAAGACGTTCCTGCAGACCGCAAACAAGCACTTCATGGCCAGCCACAGGGTCGTCTTTTACGTCATAGCCGACGCCTTCCTCGAGCTGCCAGACGTGGCGCTGGGCCCTCTGCGCACGTTCCAGGTGCTTCCGATCAGCAGGGAGAGCTGGTGGCACGACGCCGACCTCGTGCACATGAAGAGCCTGGGGGAGTTCATCGTCGGCCGCATCCAGGCCGAGGTGGACTTCCTCTTCCGCATGACGGTCGACCGGGTGTTCCAGGGCGCGTTCGGGGTGGAGACACTGGGCGCGTCCGTGGCCCAGCTCCACCCGTGGTGGTATTTCAGAAACACCAAGAATTTCCCCTACGAGAGGAAGCCAGACTCGGCGGCGTACATCCCCTTCGGACAGGGAGATTTCTACTACGACGGCTCGATCGTCGGCGGCACGCCCCGTAACGTCTTGAACTTCATCGAGAAATACCTGAGTGGCGTCATGCACGACGTCGAAAGGGGACTCAACAGCACCTACGAAAGGCACCTAAACAAGTATTTCTTCCTCAACAAACCCACCACGCTGCTGTCACCGGAGTACAGCTGGGATGCTGCCTTCTACCCGCCGGCCGAGGTCCGCCGCATCCGGGTGGCGCACCCCTCTGAGAGGAGATTGGAGGAGCCACTCAGGCTTGCCAACTGACGGACGGATCCCAGCGATGCCTCGCACACACGGGTGCCTCATGACCGTCTGTTTCTCAGAGGCATAAAAACCCACACCCTTCCGAAAGAAACCTTTCTTCTTGCAGTTGTGAACCTTCCGGCGCGGCGAGTGCCGGATAGAGCAGCGTTCGTGCGCGTGACGCCTTGATTTGTACATTGCAGGTAACGTGGAAATACTCCCAGCATGCAAGGAATTTTTTTACATTCACAAAATGGAAAAGTATTATATGCAAAGGGAAAAAATAAATCTTAGCTCCATCTGCAAATGCGCAGCCTGCTTCTCAGTGTCGGGGCAGAGGCTGGCGGTCACGCCCTCGGGTTCCCACGCCGCCCGGTAGGTGATTCCACGGAGGAATCCACCAGACACTCGTCTTACTTTTATCGTTACAAAGACACATCATCAGTTCCTTGTCTTAAAGCCACGGGCATTTTATTTTATTAAAGAAAAGATATTTACCACCCTCCGTGGTGAAGCCCCTGTGCCAGCGGTGCTCAGGGACAGAAGTGTCATAAACGTGGCTGTGTCTTTAGCAGCCGTGGTCTAGCAGCCGTGGTCTAGCAGGGGCCGAGGCCGCAGCACTTTCTTTGCGTGTCTAAACATGTGGACAGTGACGAGGACGACGCCGGGCCTGGAGCTCGGCGGTGGTGGGGGAGCTTCCCTCCACGACAGGCAGGTGTGGTCGCGGAGGGAGAGTGTCCAGGACCCAGCGAGGTGCCTGCAGCAGCTCAGACGGTCCCGGTGAGTGTTGTGGCTGAGCCGCACGGAGCCCCGCAGCCCATAACGTGACCGTATTTGGAGACAGGGACCTTACAGAGGTTACAAGGAGAGGCCCTTATCCAGTGTGACCGCTGTCCTCATCGGAAGGGCAGATGAGGACACTGACGCCCACGTGGGGACACCCCTCGGAGGGCCTGGGGAGCAGGCGCTGTCTGCAAGCCGAGGAGGAGGCCCGCCCCACCCATGCCCTGATCGCAGCCGTCCCACCGTCAGAGATTTCTGTTGTTTAAGCCGCGCAGTGTGTGGCTGTTTGTTCTGGCAGCCCCGGGGGACTAACGCAGGAAATATCCCAAAAATCAGGGCCACTAAAACAGCAGGTCGGTGGCGTTGGCCACCATTTCGTCCTCCACGCAGCCCCCTGAGCTCAGGCCAGACCTGGAGCCACATCCGTGTTCTCTCTGGCGTGTCACCGGCCTCCCTCGCGCACCCAGTTCACGACGAGGACCTGCGTGGGGGGGGTGGCTCACCCCGCCCTTTTCCGCACTTTGTCTCCTTTGGCTAAAATAAGATGATGTTTCAGAGGAGCTCCCAGTTCAAAAGAATCTCTGCATGTTTCAAGAGGGAGAAAATAGATATTATATCAGCCACAAACCCTCTATCGACATGTGGGTAATCAGTAGTCCCGGGCCAGATCTGGAGCGCAGGGAGGGACCGTACCACGCAGGACAAAACTAGCTTCCCTGCCAATTTACGGACGAGGCTGGAAAACTTACCAAGAGGGTTTCTGAAATTTTACCATTAAAAAAACCATGGACTCAATATTAAAACTTTATAAAATCCTTGATGTATTTGGGAGGACGCAGGTGACCTTATTAATGCTTACAGTCTCCGGGCCGAGAGTGAGCCCAGGTAGGAGACTCACGAAACCGGGTCACCGCCGGGGCCTTGCCCGCCCGTCCTGCCCGCGAGAGCGTCGCGCCCCGCAGTGGACACTAATTCCCTTTCTAAACTTTGATTTGCCAAGTTGGTAAGCAACAAAGCATCTCTTTTTTATTACTTATAAAGCCAAACCTTCTTTTAAATTATATTTCCCAGCCTTTAGATCTGTGTATGCAAATGGCCTTTTTCTGTCTTCTACTCGTTTTTCTAACGCTGCTTTTGACCTTGGAGGAGTTCTGACGTGCGTGCTCGCGCCGGGACCGGGAGTCCATGTCAGGTTTGCTGCAAAAATTACCTCGAGTCGTCGACTGCATTTAATTTTGTTGGCGGCGTCTTTGACATCACCAGAGTTTAAAGCTTCCGTAGCTCCACCTTCCCCCGCGGTGCTCACACCCCATCCCCGAGTGACAGAAATTACAGCACTTCAAGCTTTCTTTTTATTCAGAATTACGAATTACTTTCAAGATAATGTGTAGGGTGAGATATCCAATCTCATCCTTCCCCTACGAGTCTTGTTCATTTCCCCCAACACAATTTTTATGGAATAAGTACGCTTTTCTGGAAGGGCCGCCGAGCGGTACTCTGAGTGTCGCTCCGGGCTGTGTCCTCTGCCGACTTCACGTCGGTTTCGCTGACCTGTCCGTCCCGAGCTGCTGCCGCCCGGGTCTCGCCGTCACGGTTTTGCAGGGGGGCGCGGCATCCACACGCGTCGCTTTCTGAGAACACGCCACAGCTTTTCACTCCCTCCCGTAAATTCTGGATTCGGGTTTTCGGTTTGGGGGAAAATCCCATTGGAATATTGGCTGAGTTGCTCCGAGCGCATGGGCTAATTTGAGGGCGATGAAGTCCGTGTGCTACTGGGAAGTCACGGAAGTGCCACCTCTCTGCTTATTCGAGTCACCGTCGGTGCCCGGGACAGGCTGTTCCCCACCGTCTTCATACGATTTCTGCAAGTCTCTTGCTAAACGGATGGGCCCGTCCTCGTCGTTTCCCGTACGTTTTTCCGGCCGGGCTCGCCGGCGTGCGAGAAGCGACAGTGAGTCGCGTGTGATTTGTGACCACGCTCCTCGCCAGCTTCGATGCGTTTGTTTCACCGCGGTGGATCGTGGTGGAAAGGCTTTGCCGTAGCGCGGCGCTGCCGGGGCGTTTTCCGGGCGGGCGTCTGGCCGCGTCTGTCTCGGGCACTCCCAGAGGACGGGCACCAAGGCCCGTGACCCGGTTTCTCAGAGCCTGCCCTGCCGGGCCCGGCGCAGGAGTGGGCGCCGCCCAGAAGGGCCCCCGGCTGCGGGGAGCGGCCTCGTGTCTGATCACCTGCCGCAGAGGACCTGGAGCCCATCCTGGCGGACACGGGCTGCCCCCCAGCCTCGCCAAGCGCAGCAGAGGCGCCTGGGCTGTGACGCTCTGCCCACGCGTGTTCCGGAGGAGCCTGGGGGCCCCTCCTCACCCCCACCCCCAGGTGCTCTTCAAGCCCATGGGCCAGCCTGGAGGACGCCACCAGTCCCTTGGCTGTTGGTGACAGGACCTGGTGACCCACAGGGAGGGAGGAGCCCTTCCCAGCAGGGCAGGGGACAGGACAGAGGCCAGGGCAGGCTCCAGGCTGGGGGCTTCCTCAGGTCCCCAGGGCGAGTCCCAGCCACAGGCCAAGGTAAGGGGAGGACGGGAGGCCAAGGGCAACGCGGGGGTCGGGCCAGGCAGGAGGGCCCAGGTGGGGCCGGACCTAGGCCTGGGGAGAGGGGCATTGGCCTGTGGGGAGGAAGAGGAAATGGTGGTGATTCTTCATTCATTCATTCATTTTGGAATCAATCAATCACCAATCACTCAGGACAGAACAGACCGTGGCTGGGACCACCTGGCCTCTGCTGTCCAGCCCGCCGTGGGCTGCGTCCTGCCAGTCCTCATGGGGCCCCCAGGCCCTGCCTACCCTGGACCTCACCCCCACCCTCCCTCTGCTCCGGCTGCCATTCCAGCCTCACGATCCTGGCAGCCACGGGCTTTCTCCCTCATTCTCTCCCAGGGACGTCCTCCCTGGCCGCCCAGCACACACAGCCTGGCCACGCTTAATCATGATGCTGCCCACAGTGCAGCCTGCACAAGGCTGGAGAAGCTGCCTGTCTTGAAGTTCTGAGTGCATCCCACACTCCCAGAACCGGCCTGGCCTGTATGTTTGTTGATCGACTCAATGATGCACAGAGAAGTGGCACAGGGGAGAGGCCGGCAGGGCACTGGGCTCAGGAGGCAGGAGCTGTGGGCCACTTCCAGCTCCTCCTCCCCCTGGCTGTGTGACCTCGGCCTTGTTACCAAACGTCTCTGCGTCACACCCATGGAAGGGACATGCATTGTGCCCACATCGCTGGGTCACTCGGTGCTATGCAAGGCTCGCGGGGAAGCGCCCGCACGGAGCGGAGCTTGGCTGCAGGCCGCGCTTACCGTCTACGTTGAAGACCGGAGCTTCCTGCAGGTGGAATTTTTCCACGTACCCAAGGTACTGCCCCAGCCACTGGGGGTCCTCGAGCTCGCTTCTGGCTGACGGCAGAGGGTGGTGGTGAGGGCCCCTGGCCGGAGCCTCTGTCTTTTCTGCCCCCCCCACAAGGACCCAGGCTGGGGCCTCATCCGGCCACAGCGCCCCGAGCCGGACCAGCTCCTGCTGCAAGGGCCCCGACCTGCCTGTCAGACGGGCTGCTCTGGGCACAGCAGGCAAAGTGCTCCTTGAAGGGGTGAGTCCTCAGTGGAGACCCCAGAGGGTCTCCCCTGCAGCCTGGCGCCACCCCAGCCCCCACCCTTCTCTGCCGCTCTGGGCCCCCTGCCTGGGCTCTGGCCGACGCCCCGTCGCCCGGCGCTGCCCGGACCCTTCTGTGTGCGTCTGGCATTCAGGCCGCAGCAGCCCCCAGGGCCCACCCCTGCCGGGCCCCTCCCAGTGAGCGTGGAGATCCCGTTCCCGGTCGACAAGTCCAGCGGCCCCTCCCTTCCCAGCTGGGGAGAGCCGCCACCTACCCAGCAACACCCACAGGCTGGTGGCCCCCTCGTCCTCGAAGCGTACGTGCAGGATGAGGTTGCTGTAGTCGGTGCTGACAAAGCGGACGTGCATGCTGCCCCCCTCAACTGCGGGGACCCCAGCTGGCTGATGCGGACGCCTCCCCCTCCGCCCCCCGGCCCCAGGCCCCTACCCTGTGGCCAGCACCGAGAGGACGTGTGGGCTCCCCCGGATGTCACGGCCAGGATGGGGCGTCCGTGTGTCCCCTGTCGGGGGGACGCCCACGCTGGGTACTCACAGGAGCCGCGGTACTGGCCTTGCAGCTTGGTGGGGTGGACAGTGACGTTCTCTC